AGAGAGGATGGAAAATTATGCAAAAATAATTACATAGTACGTGGAGTTTTAGGTTTTTTTTTTTTTTTAATTTTTAATAATTGAAAACGAAGGTATTATTATTAGTGGGAATTGAAGGATGACGCATTCTAGTGGATGCTACCTTTTGATAGATTCTTAATTTTTATATTGGGTAAGGGGATATACATACACATATGTAAGTATGAAAACACGAGTATATATGTATGTAGAAAGCTAATAAAAAGCATGTTGATAAAAAGTTTGTGGTGCAAGGGGGGGATAATATTAAATCGGCGAATTCAATTTGACCCCACCATGCAAATTCGTTTATATTATAAAATAAATAAATAAAGATAATGCTGAGGTGGTATATGTTGTCTTGTAAAAAGAAGACACCTGTAAGAGATGACAAAATAAATGATTGGATCCTAGTTGGATATGGGGAATATTATGAAGTTACATCCTTCTTTTCCATTTCCACCTCATCATTACTCTCTTAATTTTTCTTTTTTTCTTTTCTTATTATATTAACTTAATTTCATTACTGATCAAATTATATTTTTGTGATAATTAATTGAGAATCTACTACTAATCTAATATCGAGCGTAAAATTCTCTTATACCCTCTCTCGTATATTTTAAAATACATTTAAATTTTAGGAAGTATTAATATTTTAAAAAAAATTTATTAAATGTATTTATTCATGAATTCAGAACTTTTTTAATTATTACGATATGAATTCTTTAAGATTTGACACTAACTTATAATTTAGTTTAATAATTTTGTTGTTAACCAAACTATACTTTTTTTAATAAATAATCGAGAATCTACTAATCTAATAAGTTTTTATTAAGTATAAAGTTCTTTTATACCCTTTTTTTTTAATTCAAATATCTCAATATTCAATTGTAACATCCCGAATCCCAATGTCGGTAGGTACAAACGTCAGCACAATATTTACAATTAGTGAAACAGATAAATGCAGCAGGACTACATTTTAATATGCATCTTTTATGACAGAATAATTATTCGTTTACAAATAATTGAGACATCTAAATTAATTTACAATATTAAAATAAAAGCTAATAAAATTTTTCTTTACCATTTTCTATTGATCTTAAAACTTGTTTCTCATCTCTTTTGACCTGGATGGGGGTAACCTGGAGTGAGTTTCATTAACTCAGT